TGGGTTCTGACATGATGCTCCCAAATAGCTGGTGCTGCTCAGTGTTAAGGGTAATATTCAAAGTCGAGGCATTGCTAGGCCGACTGCTAAAACTAGTCCCAGGCTTTGTCACGCATTAAGCTTTGAGCACTGTACCCATTTAATTGCCGCGCTGTAGCCTGCAAACCCAAGGTCCTTAAAGAACATGGTAATGGCGGTCGACGTGGAAGTCTACGTGCGTTGATGTATGTACATATATATATATATATATATATATATATATATATATATATATATATCGCGGAAGGCCCTTTAACGCCGCCTGGCATGGCTGGTCTCTGTAGTCATTCAACGAAAACATTTTCGGAGTACACGAAACCGAACGGAGGTCACTGGAATGTTATCTGACTACGCCCTAACATTGGTCGCTACCAGGCGTCACAGCGCCGGTTAACAGACTCGCCGGGTGGCACAGTCTGTTCGATGTACTCATCAGGAGGCATCACCTGTTTCCACCAGAGCCGCGCCTTGGGCGCTTTCTTGAGCAGAAACTCCGGAGTCGTGCGTGCAAAGTTGGACAAAAGCGGCCCAGTTCATCCGGAGGTTTTGCCACGACGTCTGAGCCCGTTGACGGCACCGTCTATGGAGCCCGGCGATGTGCGGCCTCCCTCAGTCCCACGCCGCGCAGTGTCGCAGTAATTTCCGGGAGCTCTCACAGAAGGTTCTCGGGGGAATCGATGCACGCAGAGGCTACGGGATGAGGCTAGGGGCCACGGAGAGGCTAGAGGGTTGGTGGCGGTTAAGGAGGAGTGGGAGGGGGTGTTAAATCTCGTGGCCTGGAAGGCAGTCCATGTTCGAATTCAGACCGCGGTCGAAGACAATTGTTCTTGGAATGCAACCCACAGCGGACTCATTTGTGATTTGAATGTATTGCTAATGTAAATCCAGTCGTTATCTTAATGCAACTTTCATTCAAACTTTATGTTTTTCAAGCACAATTCTCGTTTTAATGCAGTAGCCATTCAACTGATTTTTCTTTCCGAAACGGTCCTAATCGGAGGGTGGTCTTCATTCGAACGCGGTATCTAACTTAGTAAAGAACTTACCTAAATTGACCAACTGGCCATGACTTGCAGGCGCTGATTATATCGCAAGTCGCTCATGTTTTATAACATCGTATATGTATCGCTGGCGTTGCGTCCCATTTGCACGTGTTGCGTGTTCTGTGTCGTTCTATGTGGCATGTACTGACGCGGTGTTACAACAACCACTCCCTGGATTTCGCCAAGGTTCGCAATAATAATAATAATAATAATAATAATAATAATAATAATAATAATAATAATAATAATAATTATAATAATATATAATAATAATGATGATAATAAGCATAATAATCATCGTCATCATCGTCATCGGTTTCGAACACAGTCTGTATCAAATATAGTTGGTACCGAAGATAGTAATCGTTAGGGCAAAAACAGGCCGCATCCACCAGAATGTAGTGCGATCGAAAACGGGACTTTTGTCGAGCACATTCCACACTCGAACTTATCATCATTGTCATCAACATTGTCATCGTCCGAGCACAGACGTCTTTGGAATGGGTTTCTGATCTTGAAACATGTTTCATGTGAGTTGGATCTCAGTCGAATGGAGTCCTTATTTAGCACAATCGGTTATATATTTTGATTAGATGTTTGCCAATGGAAAGAAAGATGGTCCCTATGTTCGAAGAAAGTAGTCAATATCTCCACACCGTGTCTAGTTTTTCTTTGTTCATTTCCTCTGGCGATCCAGGCTATATTTCTACAGCATCTTGTTCATTTGGAAATATGCCCCCTCCGCCCCAAGCCGAGCGAGCCTACCCGTGGATATGGCTCACTCGATCCTGCTTCGACGATGGTTTGAAGTACAGCTGGTCAAAGCAAATACGTTCCAGTTCGTGAATTAACTCCCAGGTGTTCCCGGCGAGTTAATTTCATAAATCCACGCAGTAGGGGTGTTGCCGAGAAGATATTCTCCTTGCACAAATGTAACGAGTTGCATGGGCTTACATTAGGCAGAGTTGGGCTTTGGCAGCAGGAAGATTTTGAAGCTTCATGATGGCGATGGATGTTGCTAGGCCTGCTGTTTGAAAGAATCGATGATGCAAGTCATGCTACTTTTACCTCTGCCCTCCACTTTACTGCCTTTACGAGGAAACATGCTGTTTACTGAAATGGATTATTGTTTGCTCCGAAGCTCAAGGAACGTTTCTAGCGCGTGACCTGTGAAAAATTAAGTCGATCGCACTATCTCCTGTAACCTGGCGTGTGTCCAATCCCTGGGAGGCCCGAGAAACGCACGTGGAAAAACGCAAGCACCGACGCGCCGCCCTTGCCAATTAAGTCATTAAGCCATTGCCATTAAGCTTGCCATTAAGCTTGCTGACCACGCCACAGACTTCGACCACAGTGGTCGAAGTATGTGCATGGAATTCAGAGGGAGATGTGTGTATTGTCCCACAGGAGACATATCCCTGAGCCATATTCCATGACGTAGAACGAATGGAAGCCATGCAAAGGATCCGATGTATGAAAAAATAGTCCTGAAGCGTGTGAGTGGCCATTGTGCTTCTTGGCTCTGCCTCCACCGTCGCATGAACGAGAGACATTTTTACCTGAGGCAAAGTTTTAGAGCTGGTTAGGGGTAAGATGCTGAATGTCTAATGAGAGCCAGATGCCACAATTTATCTTAATCGGCTAACGACATCCAGCACAAGGTGACGGGAGGACAAGGTGATGGAATTCGGGATTCTAATAGGAAAACAGTGTGTTTTACTTATTGCATAGGTTTCTTTCCACAAACATGTGATGCATGCATGCATGATGCTCTCATAACCTCTGCGGACAGATAATGCCGATGAGTGCT